TAAACTAATGTAAAGCCTGCGGCGCATGATGTTTGTTTGCTCTACGATTGCAACCGGTCCTGAGAATTGCAACCGATTGCGATTTGGAAATCCGGAGATTGTCAAATTCGCATGCACGCAATCCAGCACAAAAAAGAAAAAAAAGTATCGCGTGCCACGAAATAAAATATTGTCAGGTTGAAACAATCAATTTTTAATGTTTCCGTCAAATAATATGAAAATTTTCATTCAACAAAATTATTGTCTAGAGAAAGATTATTATGTTGTTTGAAAATACAAAAGTAAGTGTAAGTCGAACAATGGGATTATTAAATTAAAACAAAAAAAAACTGTTCTCTCTGTGTACACCAACATTTACGTTAAGTGAATCGCGTTGCGACGAGTCTTTAAATTTCATTTAAAAAGACGCTGCACTTTCTGCGATCCAATATTATACGTTCAAAGCAGAAAGTTTGCTGAAGTATTTACTACGTGTACGTGCAATTAGTCGAAAATATGCGAACTACTCGAATATTTCGAAAGACAGGCGATTGCGCGATTCGTTTGCAAATGTGCGGACACAAAAATATACAAATTCGAGCAAGTAGTTTTTTTACATTACTGATATCTTCTCCGTTACTACAGACTTTCAGGTCACTAGAATAATTGTTATCTTTAGCGCGAGACAAACAAAAAAAGACGTGTACGCGTAGCTCGTTAAAAATTCTTTTTCTGAATGAGCATCCTTGTAAGATGTGTTTTTTTTTTTTTTTTTTTATTATTTATTATTTTCTTGTGTCACTTCCTACAACCGCCGCGACGGCGGCGCATAAATCCGACGATCGTATTTATCGACCGAATAATACACCGGAGCCGGAGTGTACTTTAAGGGTGCTCCGTGCGAGAGGAGGTTGCACCGAAATAGAGGATGTGTTTATTTCGGTCTGTGTTTCAAGGTGAGGAGCCTGCTGCGCCCGGTGTGTGCGTCTTACTTCGAGAGAGAGAAGAGACGCGCGTCCACCAACGGGATGCGCGTCGGACGTTAAAGGACACGACGAGGATCGAATCTTTCTCCCGGGAGAGAGTGAGCGGCACAACGAGTAATGCACTCGAGAGAAAAATTGGACTCTTTCCAAAAAAGAGAAAAAAAAAAAAAAGAAAAAAAAGGAGAAAAAGTAAAGGAGGCTCCGCGTTCGAAAAACTTCCAAGAGGCTTTTATTTCCCCGGGAAGAGTTTCGTCCCCGTTTAGTCAAATCGATACTCGAAAAATAAAGAAGACGACCACGGCTTTCAGTGTCATTTTCTCATTTTTTTGTCTGTTTTATGAAAAAAAAAAAAAAAAAGTGATGTGACGATCCTATTCGTCCTTGTGCGCGTTACTGATGACGCGCGTTCCAGCGCGATATTGTCGTTTCTCCTCGGCGAGGAGGACACACGTCTTCGGCAAGCAAACGGCGAAGGCGTAACCGGAAAGGATTATTTGCCATGCGGCAATAGGTGCTTGCGTCACACTGACCCTCGGCAATTAACTACTGTTTCGACAACGAGATTCGTACCAATACGATCACGCGACAGTCAATACTATACGGTTCTCCCATTAATTAAAATTTCTCCCTTTCTGCTTTTAGATTTTTTATGCACGCGGAGATTTAATAATCTCTCTCTCTCTCTCTCTCTCTCGCTTGTTAAAGAGATTCTCTCGCAATTCTTTGACTCACGTATCATAATTTTTTTTTTTTTTCCATCTTTGAAATGTTGTTAATAAGCGTCGAGACGGTTATTGAATCGATTAGTCGACGTAGATTTCGAGATTGAAGTGCGCGACAAATAAATTTTACGCAAAAGTGTTGCAAAAAAAAAAAAAAATGAAATTCTCGTATTACAATTAAGAATTAATTAATTATCAAGTTTCGACTACATTAGAAATTATTATTAAATATTATTAAATTAGAAAATATTATTAAATATTATTAAATTAATTATCAAGCTCCGACTGCAAAAGAAAAAAGTGCGCAATATATCTTTCGTCAAAATGATCCGAAAATAGCGGCTAGCGCACGTAAAAAAAAAAAAAAATTATATACGCGAGTTGAACCGAGAAGTTGTAGCATTTCTATGCAAATCACTTCTGCAAAAGATGACAAAAGGTAATATTAAATGAAATAGATGATTGCACGACAGAGAGATCTATGAGACATGTTGCCAGGTGTGCGTGAAAAACTGTGCTGAAGTTTTTGGAGCAACGGTAAAATTACGGCAATTGCGAAATTTTGCAAATCTCTTTTTTCTCCAAAAAAAAGCGATACAAATTTATTTCGCTTTCATCGAACGTACTATAACTCGCCGGGATTTCATCCCGAGGCGTGACAGACGAAACGTGACGGAATAAAAGACAGGAAAAAAGTTTAACCAAAATAAAATTCTCAAGTTTCTCAAGTTTAAAGTGCCGCTTGCGGCTAATGCGTGGCACGCATCCGCGGGATGCGTGCACACGCACATCGGGGAATCGGTGCGCGTGTAAATACGTACACGCGTACCGTCTTCTTCTAAATCGAAGAAACCGGTGAACCGCTTTCGCGCCATCGTCTCGCCGACGCACATGCGTGCCGAGACGATTGTGTACAACCGAGATAGACTTAATCGTCGTGTTTTCGTAATTAGAAATGCTAATTGTCGGATATAACAATTACGCGATCACGTTACGTGGGGACACTCGCGCAACCCCACGAGCGCAACGTACCACGTTTCGAATATTCGAAAGTTTGTTAATATTCGTGGAGGTTATATCTGTCGAATTTTTTTTGACACAACGGAAAAACCTAGGAGACGTTTCTCCGATTCGGGGCTTGGAACACGCGCCGCGCGTGTTCGACGAGAACACGTCGGCGTGTCAGCTGCTGGCTCCGTGACGAATCCGTGGAGGATTTCACATTTGATCTTGTATGTATCGCGATCGTTCGCGCGATGGGAGGGACGTTGCACTTTTTCTTCCCGAACGCGAAAGAGGAGAAGAAAAAAAGTCCTCTCCGGGAACGGGGAAGGATATTCGTCCTGCGGGAACGACAAAAAAAAACAACGCGTCCCCGGCGACGATCCGCGGGCGCGGGTTCACCGACTTTACTTACTCGTAAGGACACAGAGTCCTGCCGGCGAGGCTTCGCCGCCGTGTCACCACCACGACCACCACCACCACCACGACTACCACCACCGTGTACGCGTGAACAAGGACCTCTTCTTCTCGCGGGACGCACGGGATCTTCTCGTGCGGCTCGTCCTGCGTGGATTGTCTTGCGGAAAAAAACGCGACAATTCAACGCACAAAAAAAAGCAACTCTCTCCGGGGCCGCGACCACCACAGGTGCGCTTCGCAGGAGACGCGACGCGTGTGTAGTAAAACGTTGTAAGTGCGACCGACACGCCGTGACGCATACACAAGCGAGCGGACACACCGTCTTACACCGACTGGTGTTTACTACTTGGCTCCGTACCGACCGCTCTCGCACCGTCGAGCACACGGATCACACCGAGGCGCACTGCGTGGTCGCCGCGCCGTTGGGTAGCATCGCCCCCACGAGTTGACCTGACGAAACGAGCGGCACCGCGCGTACCGATAACGCCGGCCGAGGACGCTCCCGCCGGGTGCAACAGTCGCGTCCGGCGGTGGTGGTTCACTTCCGTTCTTTGGGATTGTCGAACAGTGTCGATATGGGAATTAAATCGAGCAATTATTTATAAATTAAATGTGTCCCAATGAAACCGAACATGATGTACGCCATTTGGCCAGATATTTATTAAAGAAATTAATAACAAGAATTATATATACCGGTTGGATTTGTTTATTAATAAAATTACCAACTAATTTAACAATTAGATGAGCTCGTGAAAAGATAACGCAGAAGATGAAACTGAAACAGAGTATATTAGAGCGAGCCAAACTACACATATGTGTGTGTTATTTATTAAATGTAAAACTAAACGTATCTTTTATTTTCTTCGGTGTATAAACAAAAAAGAAATTGAGATAAAATTAAAAAATAAAGTGAAGTAAAAAATTAACTTGAAATGATTGAATTAAAAAATAAAAAGTAAAAATTGAAATTAAATTAAAAGTTAAAAGTAGGTACCTAAATTGAAATACAAAATGAACAGATTGACAACAGCAATTGTAAAATACAACTTAACAAATAACAAAAAGATGTATTTCCGTGTAATATTATGCGCTTTTTTTTACATTTTTCGAAGGGGAAACTGCGGTACAAAATACAAAAAAACTTGTGATGTATATGAGGTGACAAAGTCACCGAAAGACAAGTACAAAGATGCTTCCAAAAATTCCGAGCCGGAAATACCGCATTAACTGAAGTTACACTTCTCGCAAAATAAACAGAAAAAGATATAAAAAAAGTGATCGATCTCTACGAAAGCAATCCGCATAACACTACCCGCGAAATTGCGAATATATTAAAGGTATCAAAAAATCGTGTGTGGAATACCTCCACACAGGTAAATTTTATGAAGATAGTGGATCCAAGTGACCGGCCCGAAAAAATCCGACACAATGTCGGGGATTCGAGACCCTTCCGGTCGCAACCCTCGCACTCAAGCGGCGAGATCACTGCGTCGGTTAATAGAAAAGGAGTAAGATTTTTTCATTTATTTTGTTCTCTCCAAAATTCGCTCGATGAAAAAAAGTTTAATTGTGTAGAAGAATGCAAAATGTATATACTTCTACATTTTTTGCAGAAAAAAATAGCCAATTTTGGAGAGAAGGAATAATGGCATCGCCAGAAAAATGACAAAAAGTCACAGATACATATTGTGAGGGATAAAGGGTTTTGTATTAAAAAAAAATTATTTTAGTTTTTATAAAAAATGTTGGTTTTGAAAAAATTTATTTTTGTTTTGAAAATTACTTTTCGACTGGTCGACCTGACACAAGTGTACTGAAGTGTGCAGATTACAATAAAAAACTAAATTTTGTTTAATTAAAATATAAAAAAAGTTTTATTAAAACAAAAAATGTCTGCGTTATAAATAAAAAAAACAATTTAATAATTTCGATCAATTTAATATATATATTTATTTGAATTGTTTATTCTGTCGAACCAAGTTGCGCGATAAACTTCTCCAACAACTCCTCGACAACACATAGTTCTTGGTAAAAATCTTCGATTGGCATTTCGATGGTGTTCGCGCATTCGTTCAGCAACCATCGGAAACTCTTCGGCAGCATCTTCTCGAATAATTCGAAATTCTTTGGCTTAACGCGACTGAAGACGCAATGATACATCCAATAGTCCTTGAAGGGTCTGAACAGTCTGAGAACGCCGTCGTTCAACTTGTCGCTTTGCAGGTTCAAGAGATCGCCGAACGCCAGCTCGTTCGTCGTTTCACAACGGTTCTCCGACTGATCATTTATCAAGTCATTAAAAATAGACGCGTTACTGCTCGCATTCAAAATGTCGGAAATATTCGGCAGCAAATCGGAAACGTCTTCCAGGTCGACATTGTCCGGCGAAATTGTTTCAGATTTTATCGGGCAGTCGGAGCTCGGAGTTTTCTGAGTAACATCGTTAGATTTGACAAATTTGCCGCGCACGTCTCTGACAGATTCGCGCTTCTGTTTTCTCCTCAAGTTCGAACCCGTCAACAAGACTCTCTCCTCAGCGCGCGAGAGATCCAGATTGTACGTTTTGCAAAACTTGGACAACAATTCTTCTTTGGAAACTTCTTCGTTCTCCAACGCGTCGCTCTTGGTATCGTTTCTATCCGGGATCGACAGTTTGCCGTTCGGAAGAGTCTCAGCGAACGCGAACACGTTATCCGTTTCCGCGGCGGCGGCCGCGTGTCGTCTCTCTCTGTAATACTGGCTCTTCGTCGCGTCAATTTTAATCTCGCACGGCACGTTTCTGTGCAAATACTCAGTGAAGTCTTCCTTCCCCTCGACACACGTAATATCCTCAAGCTGATCTTGCACCACGACTTTTTCCTGCAATTCCTTCACAGAAGGCATCTTTTTCTGCTCGAAAAGCGGCACGAGTTTTTCCACAAAGTGCAGATTCGAATCGATAAAATTCACTTGCACGTCGTGTTCCGCAGCCAGTCTGCAAATACTGAAATAAGAAGGGAACGTTAGTGCGTCAATTTTATTTAACCTTGTATTACAAGAGCGAGAAAAAAAAAACAAGTTTTGTCTTACTATTCTGGTTTCGTCATGTAGCCAATCTTCGTGGAGCAAAAGTCACTCTGCAATATTCTCGGAAGATCGTGCAACGGATTTTCCAGCAGTTGTTGAAGATACGACCGATGTGGCGTCAGCGAGGGAAGGAATTGAGTGACTTCGTTCAGCGGCAGATCAATGTGACTTACGACGCTGATGCACTGTTTCATCGTTTCAACGAGTTGAGATGGCATCAGATGCTTGCGCGTGGTTATCTCGGATTTTCTGTCCGTTTTCGAGTCAATAAACTCCAAGAATCTCAGGTACAGACTGTTGACGTCCGGCGTGTTCGGACTGTGCTTGAGTTTGGTGGGACAGTGCGCGTTGATCAACACGGTTCTTCTGCACTCGACGTACATCTGCCACTCACGGAAACTGAACAGTTTCACGTCACTGATACCTTCGACGTTAATTGCACTGGAACGAGAGAAGAAACGCAACGCATTGAAGAATGGCGGAATTGTAGCAGAATGTCTGTTAAATAATTCAATTGAGGAATCAGTTACGGAGGGAAAATCGCAACTACACGGGAAACGTTGCCGATATTCCTCGTATCTCTCCACACTTTTGTCGTCCGGAGTCGTGCCGAAAGTTACGCGATCGTTCGCGATCACGGCGTACGGCATTTTGCTGGATGTGAAGTAAACACCCCATTCGCCGGATTTTTTAAACGCGACGCCACCAACGACGTGATTGTATTCCGTTAACGTGCGATCGAGTGTTTTTTTCAATGCTTGCCACGGGGAAGAACATCTTTTCTTCAGATCGTTCGCGATGAGTCTCGACAAGCCAAGCTTCATGATGGACTCTTCGTGAGAACCTGTCAGAGAACATCCTACGCTTCGATCGGCGTACACGCCGCAACCCAACGCCGAACAATTGCCCGCGCTTCCGACTAATTTTCTGTTTGAACCGCCACCCGTAATTCCCGCGGCAATGGAGCGTCCGTCGTAAGCTATGCAGCCGACGGAACTCCCATTATCTACGTTGAAGAAAACTGGCATCAGTTTGTTTCTCTCGCAAGATCCGAAATAAAAGCAAGAAATAAAAGCAAAACTTCTAAACGGCAACGTTTACTTTCTATCAAGTCTGTGCACTGCAGCTTTTCCAGATTATTGGTACAACTGTCAGTGCAGCAACAGGAACCGTCTGTTTTTCTCAATTTGTAAGCTAAACGCGCCGCGGGTGCTGTCATGTTCCCCTCGGACAAACAGTTCAAGTTCGCGTGTTCCGCCAACTTCCTCGCGCCCTGACCCACCACAATCGAGTCGGGAAAATTGTCCAGAACGTATCTGGCGAGCGATATCGGATGCTCCACATCCGATACCGCTGCTACGGATCCGCATTCAACCTTGAGACCGTTCACTATGGTCGCGTCCATCTGCACATCTCCTGTTATCACACAGGACGTAACATATTACTCGATTATTTACTCGTTCGGTTACATCAGACGGAATGCAGACGTTTGTATACCTAATTCGTTTAAAAGCGAACCATAACCGCAATTGAAAAACTCGTCGCACTCCAGCCAGCGCAACGCCGCTTCCACAGCCCCGATCGAATTCGCGCCGTTCAGCAGACTTTGATACGCGACAGACGCCGCGGTTTTACAGCTCGTCAGCTTCTCAACGATTAGCGCGTCGTCGAAATTTCCGGTACCACCGTGCACGAGCACGCACGGTGAGTCGAAGCTTTTACACTGTATCATTTTGTTATTAAACAATTAATTGCGGAATAATTTTTTCTAAGCCAAGAATGTCTATGTAAACGTGACTTTTACAAATTTGGCACATGCGTTTAAAAATTGTAATCGACTACACTACTACGTTTGGAATAGTTTATACATTCAACTGTTAGTTAAAAAAATCATTTCTATGTGATAGGTGCTTTCAGATTTGCTGCGTTCAACTTTAATGAAAGTAGTTTTCAAACAAAAATTATGTGTAACAAAACCTATTTTATAACACGGAATTTTATTAGTCAAACTATATATAGTGACATATGTATTTGAACAAAGTATTTACAATCATGCAAAATAATGTCTAAATTGCAAAAACTTCCATTACGAAATAATAGAAGCGGTTTCTTTTCTTTACATTTTTTGTTAATCATAAAACGTTGAACAAATTTCGCACGGCGAAATATCATACGCAAAAGAAAACCTTAATACGTACCTATTGATTCTATCAGCAACGTTACTGATTTCGTATTCCGTTACGTTATCCAAACCCAGTAATATTTTCATCACTACGATAATAAATGCCATAGCACGACCTTCGTAATTAGGAATGTGAAACCTTTTATGGAATATCATATCAAACAATTTTGGGGGCGACAGAGCTATCAGTCTTTCCGCGTACAGCGATATTCCATCTGTAAAATTGAATGACTGAGAACTTATGTGCTTTGTTATATTACGAAAAATTGTCTCTTAATCGTATGTGAATATTCATTACTTGGTAGAGCTAATTCGCTGCAGTATCGATTGATGAGCGGCAAGAAATTTGGACAGATTATGTGTCTGACCCCGAGAAATTTCGCCATTCGTCCAATTATCCTCCTCATACCTTTGTGAGTTACGTCCGTAACGCGCGATAAGAAATTCGTCTCCTGTTTCGTCAGCTCTACCTCAGGAGGTACCAGACAATCTAGTCTGTAATACGACAAATGACCTTCTCTCCCGTATCTGCGATAACAATATCGACAAATATATTTAAATAATACATAATCAAATAAGTCGTGAGAACTTTTAAACATAAGCTACGCGCGATTACAAAATTATCCACTATCAGCAGTGGATCATAACTCACAATATTTTATTGAAATATGGATGAATAACACATATTTTGCAATATATAATATTGCCTTGGAGATCAACAATAAAACGCCTATAAATTTTACCTCAACATATCACCCAGATGTATATCCTGATTGTGAATCCTCAAACTCAGATACAAAATCGCCAGCAATTTGGAGGTTGTGATAATTTCCGGTCCGGATCTATATTCAGTTGTTACGTGGGTTTCCTTGTATTTCCTACGTTTGTGTTTTGGTACTCCTTTCGCCAGTTGTTTAACTTTTTTGGCCTCTTTCTTGGCTGAGGCATTAAATTTTATTCTAAAACTAAGTATAAATATATATTGAAGATGTCTTTTGGAAAGTGATTCTATAATTTTGCGCACATTGATCTCTTCATATAAATTCTCTTTACCTTCTATTTTCACTTCCTACAGTGGACTGCGCACTCTGACTAAATGTACTAAGCGTATCTCCCTCTGAGTTAGCTTGTAACTGCATGTGCCTATCGTAGTCTGCAGTCATCATTAATTTCTACAGCACATATAAAAAACAATATATTTGTACAATTGGGTCTAACAAATCAGTAAATGATTAAATTGTGTTTGCCAGATTATACCTTGTTTCTATTTATGTGTCTCATGGAGATTTCATCACTCAAACAAGCTTCGGTTTCTGTCACATTAGTTTCAGTTCTTTTTCTTTTTCTTTTTTTGGTCTTTGATAAAATCTTGCCATATATAATTGCAGCATCCCTGTCATACAAATAAATTACACATATTTAAATAAAAATTAAATATTTGTAGAATGCAAATAGAACAAATCAATTTTGTGCAACAACCTCTTCTTGTATCTTCTTGATAGTTTGGGTACTAGCTTTTTCTTTGTAGACATGAAAGCTACCTCTAATTTTCCTAAATACCGCGCCCATAGTTGCAACACTGTCATCTTTATATTAGCTGATGCACCAAGCTCAATAAGCTCGTTTGTCAGGCCGATTAAAGCAAAGTTATACAGTTCCCAGGATGTCCATCCTACTGCCTCTGCATCTGAGAAATCATTACATTAATAACAGAAACTTAGTTATTGTCATTGTGTATTTTTTATATTGAACACGATATTCATTACTACTCTTAATCTTAATCCTGTAAACATTTCTTTTGTGTACATATCCTACAAACCCTAGACATTTGTCCAATGCGATTTTTTATTGATTAAAATGTTACAAGAACTCTGTAAAACTTCATGAGGCTTTATTCAACATTGTATATCGAGGGAATAACATTAGTTTTTCGATATATTTTTTCATTTTTTTAGAAATTCTTGCACTAAATAGTTAATAAGATTTTCTCTCTTTTCAAGAATCGCTGGGATATTAATGTTCCAGGTGTTTACGAAATTGGGGTTACATGTATTCTTGTAAAAGAACGGACCTGCGTTGCCACTTCTCACAGAACGAATTCTCGTTTTTTTTAATCTCACATTCTCTGTTGGGTATACGAATTCCACCTCTTGTCCAACATCCTGCAAAATACTACATTGATTTCACGTGCCTCGTGTGTGTACCGCAACAGTATTAAATTATTCGTCTATCATTGGATTTAAATACCTGACTTTGCGTCTGACACGATGCACAAAAGAAAAAACCAGAGTCTTTGTAAAACTCAGCGCTGCCGCAATTTTCGCACTTTACCATCTTCTTCGATCTCTTTTGGCGTTCACATTTGAACTTTTGTTTCTTGCGGCATGTTCGAACATATTGCTCAGGTTAAGATAGGTTGACTTCTACCATAGACATAAGGCCTGTTCTACAATACAGTCGTAAGCCGTAAGTCGTAAGAAATTGACCAATCACAGATAAATCACAGAAAATCGATTGTGATTGGTCAATTTCTTACGACTTACGGCTTACGACTGTATTGTAGAACAGGCCTTAGGCCTTAGGCCTGTTCTACAATATATGTAGTTTATTCTATATATAATTATATATAGAATTATATATATAAGTTTATATATAACTTATATATA